AACCCGGCACCAAAAAAATGGTAACATAGGACTCACGAGACTCAGCCTGAGTACTGATGACCAGCGTCTTTTCTTTGCCCCTTTTCAAGTCTCTCAAAGGCTTGCAGGAAGAGGAGACAGTCCTTTGATTGGTTCTAGCTACTGTGAAGACTTAAGAGAAACAATGTTTGTCCTTGACACAGCGTCCGCAAAGCGTGGCCCGTGGCTTCACTGCTGTATGGCACAGAGGGACTCGCCAAGGGCCTTTCAGTCCTGGAAGAGGCTGATCTGAGAGAGCATCTGTTTCCAGGTCTTCAGTAAGACAAGATCCCCAGGTTGCACATTGGGGGTGTAAGTTACATGATTAGGAGCAGAGAATGGTTATCTTATTTGATCAAGTCTTTTTGTACTTGGCCTAAGTTGATTACATATTTAATCACCCGTGTCCTAGGATCCCTAAGTGGCCTGCAGTGAAGTAGCAAACAGTATGTCACGAGGGCTTCCTCAAGGGAAATTCAGATTCTTAACAGACGTAACCAAAGCGCTGAAGGTTCCAGTCCAGTTTTGCCAACGTGGCTTTAACGTGTAAATTACCCCTCTTAACCTCTGATGATTGGGGAAGCCCGAAGGTACAAAAGAGTAAGCCACTCCCTCCAGGCACAGTGGCGCACGCCTGTAATCCCAGCGGCTCAGGAGGCTGAGGCAGGAGGATGGGGAGTTCAAAGCCAGCCTCAGCAACAGCGAGGCCCTAAGCAACTCAGAGAGACTCTGTCTCTAAATAAAATACAAAATAGGGCTGGGGACGGGGCTCCGTGGTCGAGTGCCCCTGAGTTCATTCCCTGGTACCCCCTCCCCAAATCTTATGTCACCTTGGAGACAAAAGAAGGTTCACTGTCACTGTGAAGTGAAGTCCACACCTAGAACGATTTCATCTGATAGAGCCTTGGCAACTTCTTGGTCTTTTTGCTTCCATCCAACCAGAAAAAGGATCAGCAAAACCTTACATCCTTGACCCGGAGGCACCTGGGTGAACTCCAGCTGCCAGTCTTCTCCAGGGAACGTGCCTCGTCCTCGTGTTAGGTTATGTTAAGGTGGTGGCTTGGTTCACCCACCCCCCGATTGTTATGGGGACAAGGGGGACACGCTTTGGTGACCTCTCAGAGATCATGAGTGACCAAGGTGGCTAAGGCATCCCTCCCCAGTAGCATGAGGCCTGGGTCCCTTTAATACCTTTGCGCTGATCGACCTGTGGCAGTGCACGTGTGTGACCTCCCCCCTTTACCCACCGCCGTCCTGTTGGCCGATACCTCCCCTGGCTCCCCGTTCCTCCTCAACGTTTGAACAACATGGACTTATATCTAAATTTGGGGTCGGGGTATTAGGGCCATTTCTAAAACACCTTGAGGTGCTGCTTCTCTAGCAAAATTTGACCGGCCAGTGTGTTCCCTGGATTACAGGGCACTGCCCTTTTGCTGTCCCGTGCAATGCCTTACTGCTACCTGGGCACTGCCTCCCGGGGGCGGTCACTGCTGTCCTGCGCGTCCTTCTTTCCTGTGGCTGCTTCTGTCTGTAAACCACCATCATCGGGGTGGGTCAAGGCCGGGCATGAAGCTGGGGTCCGTGGGATGAACCTGCTTGCTGCGTGGTTTCTACGCAGGAGGGGGCCAGTCCCCTCTTTCCCTGGGGCAGGAAGCAAGGCCCGGGCGTGGGTTGGCCGCGGCTGGGAGTGGCTCCAAGGACTCTCAGAGGCAGGCCTTCCCGTTGAGAGTCGTCCTCAGCTGGGCCTGGTGCCCTGTAGTTTATAATTTAATACCATTTGAGCTTGGTGGGGATCAGGGCCTCTAACGAGATCCTGAGGTTACTTTAAGTCACTTCTGTCACCAGAGAAGCTGTGGCAGTGACAGCTCCAGGCGCCAGGCCATCTGCACGCCAGGGGCTCTGGTTGTTTAGAAATGAGAGCCACTGGCCGCGGCATGTCCCCCGGTTTTCAAGTGAGGACTCCCCCAGTGCCACCCCTTGTCTTTGTGTCTAAGTCCTGAGTCCCCAAGGCTGGGACAAAGCCACAAGTCCTGAGTTTCCAAAAAGCTCCCTGTATTTCCCGTCCGGTCCAAGGGCTAGTAATTGAGTCCTTGTGTGGCTTTGTGCAGTGGTTTGGCTTTGAGTCCAAACAGCATCCACGTTTCCTGAAACCGGCCTCCCCGGGACAGTCCCGAGCTGTCTCCTGGTCCCAGAAGCCCGAATTTCAAAAGAACTTCTTTTCTCTCAGGAGTGACAGTCCATTCCCCTGGGGTTAGGAAATGTTTTCCTTGTTATTGGGAAGTCTGAGGCTTTGTGGAGACATTGGTAGCTTGCGGCTCCGAGGACTTGGAAAGCCTTGGGAGCATCATCGTCAGAGTTTAGCTTCGAGGGGCTGCAGATGAGGAGACCGTCCACACGCTGGAGTAAAGCCCAGAGGTCTGCAGTCGGAGATCTTAACTCCTGAGCTGAGGCGCCTCCAGATCCCTGGGCAGCACCATCTGCGTGTGCTAGGTGATTCAGTGTCAGCATCTGTCCACTCAAAGTCGAGCAGATGCCAGGTGTGGTGGTACCCGTGTGAGTCCAGTGGAGGTGGAAGCAGGAGGATCACAAGTTCAAGGCCAGCCTGGGCCACTTATCCAGACCCTCGGCAACTTAGTGAGACCCTGTCTCAAATAAAAGGACTGTGAATGTAGCTTAGAGGTACAGTGTCCCTGGGCTCAAGTCCCAGCATTAAGGAGAGAGAGAGAGAGAGAGAGAGAGAGAGAGAGAGAGGAGGAAGGGAACATACAGAGAACAGAAGCGTCCTCAAGGTCAAGGACGGTGGACCTGGCGGATCCAGTTGGTGTTTGAGTCAGGACAACGTGTGGGATGGGGTAAAGGGACAGTTCCGCCAGTGACCCGCACACCCTGCGCCGGCCAGTGCTCTCCATGGGCCTTGGAGTGGGCAGGACGGGCTCTTTCATGGGGAAACAATCAGAACGTTTGTAGCCCCCCCCGCTCCCCCCAGCACCGTTTCAAAAGAAAATGACAATATAGTCCAAGGGCTGGAGGTGCCAGGGACCATCAGAGCAGGTGTCCACTGAGGAAGGGAGGCCGGAGGCAGGGCCCTGGACGGGGGTGGGGGGGTGCTGCAGGAGGGACCACCCTGGGAGCGGCTGCTGGTTGGAGTCTGGGACTCCTTTCCTTTGACTGATTTGTTTTTTGCCAAAGGGATCAGCCTCCTCCCCTGCCCCGGGGCCTTTGTAAACGAACCTTCTTTTCCTGGGGTGCGGGGACCTCAGGCCACGGGGGTGAGAGACTGGACGTGAAGGGAGTCGACAGAGAGGGCAACCACCAGGCAAGAGCCAAAAGAAATGGAATTCGGCATTTGGCTAAACCTACTCAGTGCTGTGGCTCACGGTCCCTCGGTGGTCGCCAAAGGATGTCACCCGGACAGGGATCCCAAGGAGGTCCCCAAAGGGAGGTGGACCCCAGCTCAGGCCATGAGGGTCCCTGGTGTTGCAGAAAGCAATTTAAGGAGGGGTCAAGGTGCGGCACCCATGGATGTTATTAAGAGGAAGGAAGGGACACCCACCGTGAGCCAGGCCGGGTGGGGGCCTTGGAGAGGCCGGGGCGGGCCTCACCTCGGTGGCGTGTTCACAGGTGTGAACTTCAGGGTGTAGACGCGGATCTAAGAGTGGGTTCTTAGGTGCCTTGGGGTTAGCCTGTCCCCCTGTCCGCCATTACCTACCTGGGTTGTTCCCTTTTCTTTGTTTTTGGTGGAAAATCTATTAACTCCCCCCTGGGGGTCTGTTGTTCTGCTTTGTGAACTTGAGCAGCCGCTGTGTTGGGCAAAAGCGTTCTGGTCACGTGTGCTGCACCGAAGTCTGCCCCCTACCTATCCTGCGCCTTCTTCCTCAAGGTCAGTGGCTCCTACACTGTCAGAGCGAGGCCACCAAGGCAGGTGGCACAAAGTCTGAGGCTCAGTGTGAAACTGGCCAGTCCAGAGACTGAGTCTGAAGCGCAGCTGGAGGAAGCCCATGCAGGGGTCAGAGGGGTGGCCGAGGTGGGCTGGGGTGCTGGGCTTGGTGCCCTGGACCAACGTGGCCTGGAGACGTCTAGAGAATCTAGCTTCAGTTTGCAAAGGACAAACATCAGTCCTCTTGCGGGTGCCTGGCAAGACGTTTCAGAAGCTTTGCTGACCACCGTTGGCCACCTCGCCTACTGCCAGCCCCAGGGACACCCAGGACCAAAGGCTCCCGGCCCTGGGGCAGCCGCCTCCCCCGGAGCCCAGGGCCTGAGCTGGGTGCTGGCAGGCTGGTTATGAACGACTGGAGCCCAGACAAAGAGACTGGGGTCTCCCGCTGTAGCTTCTGACAGTGGGGGTCTCTCAGAGACTGCTGGAGGGCATCAGGTGCAGGTAGCCCAAGGACATGGGCCCTTGTGTCCTCCCCTGCTGGGCCGGGCTGGTCTGGGGCAGCTGCAGGTTGGCTCCTTCTAGCATGCGTCTTCCTCCCAGTGTTCAGAAAGCCACCAAACCCAGCAGTAATGAGGCAGAGTCCCAGGTGAGGGGCTGGGGTCTGTGTGGCACCCACGTGACTGGCTAGGATGCACCTCCTTGGATATTCTCCAAGGAAGCGAGGCACTGTGCTTTCACTGTGGCCTCTGTGCACACCACAGGTGCTCAATAAATGCTGGCACCCATCTAAGCCTGTGGTCACCCCATGAGGTCAACTGCCATCAGCCCCATGGTGTATTGAGTGAACTAAGGCTCAGGGTGGGGACTCCCTAGGTCACAGCGGTCTCTGAGCTGGTTCCACCAACTCCAGGGCACACTGGCTATGAGTGAGCCAGGGGCCAGTTTCTATGTGGGCAGGGAACGCACAGAGCGAAGCCTGGGGCTGCCCCAGTCTCTCTGCATCTTGGATCCAGGCCCCAGCAGGACCAGGAGCAGCTGCTCTTGGAGGCGGGCCAGGGGCGTAGAGCAGAAAGAATCAGCCCGAGCCGCCAGGAGAACTCAGCATCCTTTAATCGCGCTGGGCAAGCGGGGCCGGGCACAGCAGGGCTGGGTGGTTTTACAGCACCAGCCTTTGTGGCACATGGCAGGCCCTGCTCCCGTGGCCTGCCCACGTGGCCACAGCTCCCTTGGCTGTGAGCACCAGAGACCACCCCCCAAGGCCACCTCTGCCCCAGAATCTGCAGAAGCACCAGTGGGCAGAGGTGACCTCCCTCTGGGGAGAAGGTCAGGCTACCTGGGCTGGGGCAGAGGAAGGCTGGCAGCCACCAGGCCACGCGCCCTGGAGAAGGGAGAGAGACAGAGGCCTGATGTCCTGCTTTCCTTTGGCCTCTCCAGGGCCTCTCTTGGCGGCATGGCTGGGGTGGGGGACAAATGACCTGAACACTGCTGCCCCTGCTCCCAGACCTGCTGAGGGCCCCACAGCCCGAGCCTTCCGTCCTGGCCCATTGCCAGGCTGGCAGGGGCTGTGCAGACAGGAGCTGCCCCCTGGGGCCTTAGCACCTTGACAGAGCCTGGTGAGTCAGGAACACTGGGCTAGCGAGAGGGACCTAGAGCGTTGGAGAGCACCTGGGGTCAGACATGGGTGTCTGCCAGTGGCTGGAAGTTCTGGGAAACAGGCTCAGATGCCTTTGGCAAGAGGGGCTGAGCGAGGCCCTGGCAGAGCCCTGGGACAGGACAGTGGGGGAGAGCCAGGGACAAGTCGGGGAGTCCTCTTGGGTCCCTACACCAGCTCTGTGGCAAGCCAGGAGCCTGGTGTCATTCCACAGGGGTGCTTTACCCCCCAAATGCTCCCAATTCCTGGGTCTTTTCACAGGACCCTTGAACTGGGCAAGGCCCCTCTGGGGTTTGCTCTGACGGGCATTGGACAGCAGGGCACACACAGGAGGAGGATTCCATTTCCACCCTGGGGACCCTGTGCCATCAGGGAGCAGTGGAAAATGAGGACCCAACTGGCTGCACACCCAGACACGGGCCTGTGTGGACACAGCTCTCGGCCTTGTAGGATCTGGTTCAGACCTCCAGAGCACCCATGGTGTCTGCCCCCACCCCCACCAGGGCTAGACTGGGAGCTCACCAGGGGCAGGGGACACTGGGAAGGGGCAGGGGGCAGGGCCTGGGTCTGACTACCTCAGCTTTCCCAGGGCCTGGCGGAGTGAGTGCTCGGTGTTTGATGAATGAATAAATGAAAGGTGGGTGCAGAGATGGGGGTGGAGAGGGGGTGAGAGAAGAGGGGAAAGGGCACAGAGAACAGAAGAGGGGGAGAGTGCAGAGTGACGAGAGAATCTGAGGATGTGGGGAGAATCCTAGGAGGGGGGATTCCAGAATGTTCAGAAGGACTAGAATGTTGGGAAAGTTCTAGAACCTGATGACTTAAACATGGTCCACAGACCAGCAGCATCAGCATCGCCCAGGATCTAGACAGTAAGCTGGAGCCCTGGCCCAGACCCGGGGAACAGTCCCCGGGGAGGACACACTGGGCTTCCAGGTTGGAAGAGGCCTAGAAAACTCAGGTCAGAAAGTGAGTCCAGGAGAGGACAGAGGGACAGGAGCACGCTGGGGGCACGGGTGGAGGTGGCAGTGAGGAGAGACCCTGTTCCCAGAGGAGCCGGCTGCAGCCCCAGGAGGCGCTCAGTCGTCCTCGGGCTTGATGAGGTGGCCGCTGAAGGTGATGTAGGTGTCCACGTCGTCGCTGTACACGGCGTTCTCGCGCTCGCGCTTGAAGAGCCGCACCCAGACGTGGTCGCCCGGCGCCAGCGCCAGCATCACGCTCTGGCTCTGCATGATGCTGCGGTCGCTGGGCTGCGCGTACAGGATGACGGCGGCCGCCTCGTTGTGCACCACGTGCACGTAGGTCTCCTTGAAGTTCCAGCTGTGCACGTTGAGGCTGAAGAAGTAGAGGCCGCGCAGGGGCGCCACGAAGCGGCCGGCTGCCATGTCGAAGTGGCCGTCGGGGTTCACGAAGACCGTGTCGAAGAGCAGCGGCTGGAAGCCCTCGCTGCTGTGCAGCGCCGTCTTGCGGCCCACGGAGAAGGCCGAGGAGCGCGTCTGGCACGGGCTGCCCGGGCTGCCGGCCTGCCCCTTGGCGCCCTTGGCACCCTGCGGGCCACGGTCCCCTCGGGGACCCTCTTTGCCCAGTTTCCCCGGGGTGCCCAGCGGGCCACGGTCCCCTTTGTCACCTGTGGAGATGTTAAGGGGAAGCGTCAATGGACGAGCGAGCGCGGCGCCAGGACTCTTCTCTGGAAGGCTCCGCCCCTGTGTGGGGCCGGTAAGCCCAGGCACTGATGGTGACCCCCTGCACACCCGACGTCACCTCCCCAAGAGCCTCCTTAGAGGAGAAGCCGCGACCATCTCCACAACTCAAGATATGGTCCGTCCCCAGACCAGCCTGCTCCTCCTCCCCAGCAGGGAGGCCGCCACTGTCCAGGCTGGCAGGCAGGTGGGGCGTGGGGGTGCACTCCTTAGTGACCCAGAGAAGGAACCCAGAACCGCCCCCCTTCCCCTGGGAAAACCACAGAATCCAACAGCTCTGGGGTCCGGACTGTGCACACAGTGATGTGGGGCAGGTCCTGGGTGGGCTTTGCTTCTCCTGTCTGTACCTTGACGGGCCTCACAGGCAAGCTGGTGAGCCCCCCCACAAAGCATGAGGACATGGGACACACGCAAGGCAAACTCTGCAATTAGGGGTGGGGCCATCTGCCCTGTAACCCCCCTGCCCTGGGGGCCAGTAGACTGTAACCAAGTCCCCAGGCAGGCACACCTCCCAGTCCTTGCTCCAGGCTGACCCGAACATAAGACAAGAAGGTGACATCTGGGGCAGAGGCCTCAGACGCCAGCTGACTACCAGAGTGGGACAGACTCGGTTTCCTCATCTGCCAAGTGGGCGGGATGATAGAGTACCGCCTCGTGGGGTCAGTGTGCGCCAAGAGGGAGACCAAGGAGGCAGAGGGTCTGGCCAGGGTGTCACCGCTCAGAGCCCCGAGTAATTTCCTTCATGGCTGATGGTAGAGGGCAGGAAGCCAGCCCTCTCCTGGACGGCCCTGTGGCCCCCATGGGCTTCCGGCTTGCACCTTTGTCCCCTGCCACTTGTTCTGCACATGACATTAGCAGGATCCACCTGAAACCTAAGTAGAATCAGGTTCCTCAACTCAACACCACCTGCCCCCCTGGGGGACAAGCGGGTGCTGATGGGGACTGGCAGGGATGGGCTCAGGGGGTCTGGCCTGCTTCCCTCCCCCTTCCCTGCTTCTTCAGGCCCTGCCCTGGGGCCTCGGCCTGTGCTGTGGCCCCTGCCCCAGCCTCTGCACTCGGAGCCCCCCGCACACACTGGGTGCTCCACACACAGTGAGTGACAGAAAGACCCATCCTGGCTTCTCCCGCTCCGCCACCTCCCCCCAGGCCCTCCCTGTCCCCTACAGTCCCACCCAGCCACCTGTGGGACTCACCCTTCAGGATGGTGATGTTGATGTAGGGCCTGACCTCGGGCAGGACGTAGGGAAGGGCAGATGGAGAGGCTGGGGACACCTCCGCAGCATCCGCCAGGGGGTCCTCGGAGTCACAGCACCGTCGGCAGCCCCCAGAGAGGTTGGAGGCCACAGCTTCCCCGGAGGTGGGCTCCTCAGTGGGGACCCCAGACACCACAAGAGGGAGCAGGAGTACTGCCCAGAGGGGACCCAGGGTAGGTGTCCCCATGGTGACCTGGAAAGAGGACGGAGGAACAGAAACCGCATCTCACTCATCATCTCCATGTGCAGCGCCCAGGGTGGCTGCTGCTGCATAAGCCGGGGAGCCAGGGGCGGGCCCCCATTTAACAGACAAGAAGACTGAGGCCACACAGGGACGCCAGCTCCCTGAGGACACCGACTTGCGGCCTGGACACTGAGTCTCCCAGTGGGCGCCTGTCCATGTGGCTTCTGCCACACGCTGGCAGGACCGGAGGATGCCCCTCTGAACACCCAAGTGGACGAGGGTCCCAGGGGCCTTGGCGGGGCTGGGGGAGGGTGAGGAGGATGCCCCAGTGGCCCATGCACGGTAACCAAGGAGACCAGAAAACACCTCTCTCCCTTCCATTCTGGACCCTCTGCCCAGCCCGGGGCAGCAGGAGGGAGTCAGAGCCACTGGGGACAAGCCCAAGAGATCCTGCACGCGGCTTCTCAGGAGAGAAGAGGGGTGGTTGGCCTTGCTCTGCCTGGGAACTCCACGGTCCCGGCAAAGGGAACAGGAGTGCTCCTCGGCAGGTGGCAAGGAAGGTACACAAGAGACGCAGGGGTCACGCGTGGTGATGGTTATTGAATCCTGGAGGACCCAGGTTGGCATGCTGAGTCGAGGCTGCAGGCCATCCTAGCCTTCGTAGCACCTTTCTGTGAAGTAGAGAAGGCGCCCTCTGGATGGACAAATTAGAAACCAAGACGTCCCCTTCCGGGAAACGCCACTCTACAGGTGTGCGACTTAGCAAGGCTGGTGTAAGCCCATCTCACACAGCATCTCTGCGCAGTCAGCAACCTGGGCAACTCAACCCTACCCTGAGCTCCGCAGAGAAAGCTCAGAGCGAGTTAGGTCATTGGAAGGTGGTTGTGTCAATCATCGTAGACCTGCCAATCAGCTGCCAAGGTGGTAAATTGGAATGAAGAAGCAGGACTAGGAAAGTCCAAGGATTGGTGTGAGGATCTGTCTTTGACCGTGGCCATGAAGAGGTTCAGAGCGGCAGGAGCAGGGCAGGAAGTAGCCTGGCCACCAGCCAAAGGAGCCGGCCTGGGGACGAGTGGGCAGGAAGCCAGGCAGCAAGCCTTTGAGGTGGTGGCAGCCTCCTTGGGGGCTGGCGCCACCCAGTTATCGCAGGATCAGAAACTCAGAAACTCGGCTTTTGAAACCAGACTGTTTTTTACACTCCGGCTCTTGTTTGTTTATTTCCTTTATGTTCTCCCTTAACATTTAGTACAATTCAAAAATATTTTTCTGTGGTTAATACACCCAGAGAGGGTAAAGCGATCTTTCGAAATGCCATGCTAGCTCAGCCGAGCACGGAGGGAGGAGCTGGGTTTTGAAGGGGCAGGAGCCCTGGGGGAGGCAGCAGACTGGAGTCTCCAGAGCCACCCCGCTCCTGCAGGTGACCCTTCCCAAGCTCTTCTCTGCCCACCCTGGGGTGGGGGCTTCCTGAATTTGCTCAACAGGCTTGCACTCCTCAGATTTATCGCCCTCCCCTTTCATTTATAAACTACAGCTCTGAGCAAATTCCCCTTCTTCTTTCTGGCCATAGGTGTGGCCTCATCCTGTGGGAAAAGCTGAGCCCTTAGATTCAGAACTGAGATCTGAGTCGTTTCCAAGCTGTGCAACCCAAGACTACTGACTTAACCTCTCTGGGTTTCCTGTTCTCTGACAGCACCTCCCTGCCAAGGAGATGACTATTTGAGAGGCCCATAGGCAGGGAGAGTGCCTGTCCTGTCAAAGACTTGTAAGAATCTGTTCCTTCCTCTGCCTGGGGCAGCCTCTTCCCTGTGCCAGCGCGGGCCGGAAGGCTCACAACTTTTTCCAGAGGGCTGGCATGGTTTGGAGACAGTTTTGTTCCCTATTGGCCCAGCCAGATGGGAATCACAACGAGCCGCAGAGCGGGGCCCAGGGAGCAGGAAGCAGGAAGCAGAGCTGCAGCGGTGGCCACAGCTAGAATTGCTGGCCGCCCGGGGAGGCTGCCAGGCCCGGACCCAGTGTGGGAGCCATGGCATCGGGTGACTTTAGGGGTCTCTGCTGCCTCCGCTGGGGAGCTGGGTCTTCTGGGGTGGGGTGGCAGGGGTCCAGTGGGCTGGGCTAGACCGAGGGTTGGAGCTGAGCCAGCACCGTTGAGGGGAGCCCCTGGCCACGGCCAGCAGGGAGGGGAGGGGATGCCCCAGGGGCTGGCCTGGTCAGGGGGTGGGGGAGCAGGGCCTGTCCAGGAGGAGGGGAGAGAATAAGAACCCCAGGCTCTGACCCCAGGCCCCTCAGCCCCTGGGCAGAAGCAGAGGAGCCTGTGGCCACACTCACCCTGTGTCCTGAGGCCTCGCCCTGCGGCTCACCGACCCTGGGCCTCTGGGCGGCCTCTGGCTCCTTGGCCCATGTCTGCGATAATAACTCCTTGCTGGCCCAGACCCCCGGGCCCCAGTGGGCGGGATGGAGGAGGGCGCAGGGCGGAGGGCGGAGGAGCCAGCTGGCCTCCCACTGCCCCTCCTCCGGCCCCTCCCCTGCCGCCCTGGATTCCACCAGATACAGGGGCTGGGATTTCCTTGGCTTAACTCTTTGCTGGTCCAGGGGGTTCCGGGGGAGTCAGTGCCTGAAAGTCAGAGCAGAAGGTAGTCCACGGCCCCTCCACCCTCCACGAGCAGACTGGAACCGAGACAGGGAGGGGAGCGGGAGTCCCTAAGATGCTTGGAAGTGGGGAGGTAACACTGCAGACTTCCAGCCCTACCCAGGGGTCCCCCAGAGGAGCCTGAGCCGTCTGCTGAGCCACAGAAGAAGGGTGGCTAGAGGTGAGGGCGCTGGCACTGTCCTTTGGAGCACGGGTTCAAATCCTTGCCCTGCTACCCATCAGTGACCTCACCTCTCAGACCCTCCATAGGAGGCCCATGGGACAGCTTGGTAAAGGCTGGACAGACATGACCTCCCCAAGTCCCTACTGAGTGGGCAGCCAGGTCCCTCTGCCCATGTGTACCAAAGCCCTTCCAGCCTCCTGGTCTCCTAGGGCCAACCCCCCACAGAGATGATCCCCCAAATCCACAGGAGAGCAGCCTGTGTGCCCCGGCTCCTGCCTCAGTTTCCTTCTGGCTAAGCGAGGGGAGTCTGGCCAAGGCTACCGCTCTGGCTCCTGGCTCCGGCTTCCTGGGGCTAGAGACCCGGAGGCCCAAAGACCCTTCGTACCTGCTGTTCCACATTTACTGAGTACCCACGGCCTGGGCCAGGCGCTGTCTCTCTAGGAGCCTTTATTCCCAAGGGACATTTTTACTCGTCATTTCAGCTGGTGCTCCCCCAGGCTCGGGAGGGAGCTGGAGTCCTGCAGTCTGGGTGACTTTCACACAGCCAGTGGACAGGAACCCAGGCCCTGCAGAACCGGAGTGCTCTTCAGCCAACCAGAGTGCCCACTGTGCCATGCATGGGCAGGGGAGGGCCCCGAGGGGACACAGTGGCATCTGGGCTTTGCAGGTTAAACCCAGTCCACACTCACGGTGCCCAGTGAGAAGATGGAGCAGGCCCTGGGCTGTGTGCCCGTGACTACAGTCATCTCTAGGGACAGTCAAACAGCAGAACGTCAGGCCTGGGAGAAGCCTCGCAGATGAGCTAAGCCGATTCTTTAATCTGACCGGCAGGGACTCTGGGGCCCAGGAAGGTCAAGGCTTTGGCTCAAGGCCACAGAGCAGAGTGGAGTCCAGGCTGGGATGGGAGCCAGACTCCGCTGACTTCCAGCCTTGTGCTGTCCCCCCCAGCCACCAACCCACCCACCCATCCACAAAGCGACCTGGAGCCCCAAGGTCTATTGAGGGCCACCAGGGACCCGAGGAAAGCAGCTGGAGGGACTGTGGCCACGGGGACCCACGTCAGGCCCACGTCTGGCCACGCTGTCTGCAGGGCTCTGCCTCCGGCAGCATTCCCAGGGCACAGAGCCAGGTCTGCTGCGGGCGGCCACCCTCCCCACACTGCCACCACCAGGGGAAAGGGCTGAGTCAGCAGGATGGGGGTGGGGAAGCTTTGGGCTGTCTCAGAGCCTGGGGCTTGGAAAACCTGGAAGGGGGATGGAGAGAAAGGAGGTGGGGCGTGTGTGAGCGCGTGCGCCCTCTGCACTCCGCAGCCCCTCTGCAGGGCAAAGCTGCCCATCCACTTAACAGAGGAGGAGGCTGAGGTCTGGGGAGGGGAGGGCTGGCCAGTCCCAGGGCGAGCATCATGGGTTTCCAGCCATGTGACGCCTCAGAGAAGGGGCCTTGTCCCCTGGGTCCAGAGCAGCTGCTAGGGATAGAACAAGACAAGAAAGCAGAGCTTGGGACTTTCCGACTTCAACAGTCTTCGTCTCACTCTTTCTGCCCTGCAGATCCCTGAATTTGGGCATCGACCTGCGGCCTCTGAGCCATGAGGGTCTCCTCGGCAGGTGGCTTGGAGACAGCGCTGGCCCTGGGGCAAACTCGGGTTGTGGCTTACTTCCACCTCCTTCTAGCTGGGTGGCCTTGGGCAGGTTTCCATACCTGAGCCCTGGCGTCCCCTGGCCAGATGGGCATGAGAACACAAAGAACCTGAGCACCAGGTGGACAGGCAGCAGGGTCGCTGCAGATGGCTGCCACCAGGGCTTGCCTGGCTAAATCCTGAATATGGTGAACGATGTGCCCACTCTCCTCCCACCCTAGGAAGCCTAGGGTCCCTGGCATGTCCTCTGCACCCTGCCATGGCACAGGCGTAACCCCAGTGCAGAAGGCCTGACCCCTGTGAAGATGAGAGCTGTGCTCCACCTGCCACCCCAACCTTCCCCCCCACCCCCACTTAGAAGGCAGCCGCGATGACTCCTGGGGTCAACGATGTAAGTCAGGAAAGGCAAGTTACAGATGCGACTTGCTCAAGGTCATCAGCCAATTTGATCACTACACAAAGGGAAGCGTGAGCGCCACCTGCTGGGGAGAGCCGCTGTGCACCGCAGCCTGCACTGCGACCCGGACTGGGGCAGCCGCGCACCCCACCAGCCCCGTCCCACCTCCGAAGGAAGAGGTCAGGGGACGGGAAGGGACGCTCGGGGCTGGCTGGGGCGCCCTTTCACCCACTTCCTCCTCAGTGCCAGCACTCCCTTCAAAGTGGCAGGGTCCCTTTCGCCAGCAGCACCACTCTGCCTGGCCTCCAGCGGGGGGAGCCCCGGTCGGCTCCACCGAGTCCCCAACACTGAGTGACCCTGACGGAACTTCATCTCCACGACCGCGGCCGCGCTCAGGGCACCCTCAGCACCCAGCCACACGGGATCCACCCGCAAGGACAGCCTGCGCGAGGGCTAGCAAGCAGCTCGGTCCCCGAGCCCGGGCTGCACCCCGGAAGCCCGACACGTTGAGCGCAAACAGCCCTAAGCTCCCGGTGGCGAGCACCGAGCCGAGCCGAGCCGAGCACATCCGAACGAGGCCGAGCTTGCCTAAGCCGAACCGAATCCGGTCGCGTGCAGCCGAATAGAGCCGAGTCCAGCCGAGCCCAGACGGCTCCAAACGAACAGAGCCGAGCCTGGCCTAGTGGATCCGAGCGGGGCCGAGTGGAGCTGAGTCGGGCTGAGTCCGAGCGGGGCGGGCACCGAGGGGAAAGGGGACGTTCCTGAGGTCCCGTGGCGCCCCCTGCCGGACAGAGGGCTCAGAGTTGACCCCGGTGGGAGCCAACAAGCCTCCGCCTCCTGGTCCTGTGAGATGGGGTTGTGGAGCCCATTTTGCCGATGAGGAAACTGAGGCTCAGAGAGGTTCCAAGGCTAGCTCAGAGGCACTTAGAGCTAAGAAGGGTTGCAGCTAGGGTTCAAATCTTGATGGCCAAGAGCCCACCTGCCATTTTGCCCAGGTAAACAGGCAAGCGTGTGCTTCCCTCATCCCATAATAGATAGGGGCCATTGAGTATGGCCAGAGCAGGGCGAGACCCTCCCGGCCCTGTGAGCAGGTGGTAGGGACACAGCAGAGAGTAGAGACCGTTGTGGTCTTGCATATGGAGACACCAAGCCTGCTCTGGGTGTGCTGACCAGCGTGGCGGGGCCTGCCATTCCCATGAGTAAATATTGACACATTTCCTGGTCATTAAAGCAGAAAGCAAGGCCGAGAGGCCATGCCCTGTCCCTCCTCTGCAGAGCTCTGTACACGTCACCTCCCATCCCAGGTCTGTTTTCCCACCCAGAACAGGAGTCATGGGCTTCAGAACTGCCTCTTCGCTGGGACGTCCTTGGCTCTCAGAAGACAGGCCTTGTCCATCTCTGCTCTCCATCTTGGGCAGTTGACAGCATCCGATAAGTCATCTGTGGAAGGAGGGAAGGAATCCTCCAGGGACCCGGGAGGGTAGACGGTTAACTCCAGGGGGCAGGCCCGCAGGCTTCGACACCACAAAGGCCTGCCTCGGGCTTCAGGAGGCTGCCAGTCCCAGATGGAGGCGTCCTGGTCCATGCTCCTCTCCTGGCCTCTGGTGGTTGGCTGGCCACCGCTCGCATCCTTGGCTGGAGAGGCATCACCTCACCTCCGTATTTTTGTGGCATTCTCCCTGTGTGCACCTCTGTGTCCAAATCTCTCCTCTCCTTGGGCACCAGTCCCATTGGATCAGGAGACCCCCCTGCTGCTGTCTGACCTCACCTTGACGTACATCTGCAACAATGCTATTCCCTAGAAGGTCACATTCTGAGGTCCTGAGGTAAGGACTTCTTTGACTATGAATTCGAGTGGATACAGTTCAGGCCCTAATAGGAACTAACCCCCAGCAGGCCCTGCCTGTCCCCACCTGTCCCTGGAGCGAGCCTCACCTCCACCGTCTGTCTTCCTTCACTTACTCACTCCTCAGCCCCAGGGCTCGCGCACCCAGATCCCTGCCTTAGGCTGCAACATCCGGGTCAGTGCAGCCCAGCTCTGCTCGCCCAGAGCCCAGAGCATAGTGATCCACAGGTGGCAGCTCATGAGTGCTGGGGCACAGTCCTGTGTCCATGGCCTCCTGGTTTCCAACCCTGTGTCGGGGCCCATCATATAGTTGGTGGCCAGAAAAACCTTTGTTAACAAAATGAACTATGTGCATACAGGTGACATAAATGGCTGGAGGCCACCCGAGGCTTATGGCAGAGAGGGGCCTAGGACCTGGGACTCCTGACTTTGGGTCCTGGGACTTTCAGGGCATTCGTTGCCCCACAGTGGAGCCACCAAGACTCTCAGCAGGGCTGCCAATGACAAGGAGTGCCTGAGGCCTTGGTGGCCTGTGGCCTTGCACAACTCCAGGAAGCCATGTGTGCTGCTGCCTGGGGTTCTGGCTTCATGACAGTTTTCTTCTGAGTCAGGAGTCCCATACATTCCAGGCTGTCACCTACCCTTGGGTCAGTGGCCTCTATCACCCCTTCCAAGCGAGGAGGAACCCAAAGATCTGAGGGCCCTCGCCTCCCCTCCCACGGCTCCTGTGACTCCCAGATGCTCTCTGGCAATGCGGATGCCAACACGACAAGTTGTGGCCCAGAGCCTGGTGGACGTGGGCTGTTGCCTGGCAACCACTTCTGAGAGACAAGTTCAAGGTAAGGCCTTGAGTCTGACAACTTGGATGGCTAGAGAGGACGACTCAGATAGAGTGGGTGGTCCCTCCCTTCCCACTCAACCTCTCAGCCACAGACCCTCCCCTCATCCTGCAGCCCCTGGGCTCCCCTCCCCCATAGATTCTAGCCCAAATGCCAAATGGAGCCCCTTCAGTCTCCCCGACCATCCCCCTCCGCAGCCCCACACACCCATTTATTCAGTTGCCCCCATTATTCAGTTCTGCCCATGCAGAACTCCAAAGGAGGCTTAGCGGCACGGTGTGCGCAGCGCCCTCTGCAGGTGTGAAACGCAATGGTCCTGCTCATGCATTGATTCCAGGTACAGGGAGAGCGCGCAGCAGAGAGACTAGGCCCGAGATGAAGGCGCATCAGGCGACGTCCTGCCCTGGGAGGGACAAGGCTGTCAGATACATGGGATAAGGACACCAACACACATGCGTGCCTGGGGGCACACATAGGCAGTGACACGGTATGGAGAAGTATGGAACTGAAGGGGCCAGAGGAGGGACCCGACAAGGTGGTCTGGCTCCCACACGGTGCCCTGGCTCCCGGAGTCCTCCGCGCTCACTCCACGCAGGCCTGCCACAGGGAAGCCCCAAGACACGCTCACCTGAGATGTCCCGAGCACCTACTCGGCCCCGCACTGCGCTCACCAGACCTTCACCACCGCGCCCAGCGAGCGTTGGAGCCAATCGGCTTTCTTCTATGAGATTCGCTAATTGGAAAATAGGAAGAAATGGTACCTGCGGCCTTGGGATCAACATCTGTAAGGATGTGGCCCAGGCCTGGCATTTGCTAGGCCCCTTGAAGGACCTGAACTCTGGGAAGTCACACAAAAAGAAGCGGGTACATAGAGCACACTGTGTTCCCAGCTCACATGCACCCGGTGGATAAGCAGGGGTCCGTGATCAAGAGGAGGCCTGTCAACCTCAGCAGTGACCTGGGGGAGGGAGGGCACAGCTCCTTCATGGCCAGAGATGGCTGTCTCTGTGCCACCACTCTCTTGGAGACCTCCTGTACCCCAGCCAAGAGCTTGATGTACCAAATCCAGCAAGTTGTCCCTGTTTCTCAGCTAAGACACCAAGTTCAAGGAAGTAAGTGAGCATCCTCATGAAACTGGAAGGTGCTTGCGACGTGAAGTCATGTCATCCCATAAAGTAATAATGTGGGCACACACCTGTAATCCCAACAGCTCGGGGGCCTGAGACAGGAGGATTGCAAGTTCAAGGCCAGACTCTGCAACTTAGTGAGACAGTGTCTCAAAATAAAAACTAAAAGGGCTGGAGGTGTGGCTCAGTGGTGGAGCACCTCTGGGTTCAATCCCCAGTACAGAAAAAAATGTGGGCCCCCCCACACCCACACATTCACACCCATCTGAACACACAGCAGCCAGCAGGCCCAGGCCATCGCTCTTGTCATGTGTCACCGTCTTTATTGACAAGTGCTAGGGGCAGAAGTAGTAAAAGATGTCTTAACCAGTCCCCATCCCCATTGCTGACCTGCGCCAGGAGTTGGGGCGCAGAGTCAGCCAGGGAAGACCCTCAGATTCTCCTCAGGGGAACCCCAGACCAAGCCCCAGAGCTGGGTGTTTGACCTCCAACCGCCAGGAGGTCTGGGTGTGGGAACTTCCCTTCTCCTAGCCCTGCCTCCCTGACCCTTGACCTCTGGCCTCCTAATCCCCATTCTTCGTGGCCTAAGGTGTTCTTAGCCCAATACAGAGGCCACTTGCTAAAAGAGGAGGGGTGCAGGCCAGCCCTGGGGTGGGAGGTGCGCCCGCTTCATGATCCAAGGTGCCCCTGGCAGGAGCTCGGTAACCCACCCACTCACTTGTTTGTCTCTCCAGATCCCAGCAGGCAGCAAACTGGATGTCACCTCTGTTTCATGATGGGGAAACTGAGGCCCAGAGAGGTTAAGGCCAGTAAGGGTCCTGAGGTGAGCCAGAGACCAGGTCTCCACTCTCCTGGCTCCTGTGTTTTCCCTGAGGAGCGCCTGCCCTCTGTGGGGGCGAGGGGGGAGCTTAGTAGAAGGATCACCCTCCCCAGGGCCAGCCTCATGGTGGCCCTACAGGGTCAGCTCTGAGAGGGACCTGGACAGCGGCTGCTCCCTGTATTCCCCCCAGGAATACAGAAAACAGAGAGGCCGGCTCCCCCAGCCTGCAGAAGTTCTCCAACCTTCCCGCTGCCCCTGGGGGCCAGCTCCATTCCCAGGGCCTCGGTCCAGCCCAGAGGGGCCAAGGATGGCTCCAAGGTCCCAAAACAGACCTGTCCTCCTCCTTCTCTTCCTGTCCCTCCCCCTCTTCCTCTTCTCCCCTAACCTCCCCTGTGACCCTCCCAGCTCTGCTCCATAGAAACTCTGCCTTCCTGTGCCATCTGTGTGGGTCATGTCCGTCTTGTCTGTGAGGGGACACGGGTCAAAAGGAGGAGGACGGGCTGGTCCTGTAGGAGATGCCTGCAGCCCTCCACGACCTGGGCAGCTCTGGAGCCCCTACAGTGAGCTGCCTGAAGTCAGTGGCTGACCTCAACAGGACCCCGCTAGGCTCTGGGTGGCCCAAGCTTGGAGTCCCTCTCCAAGAAAAGGAATATAAAATCACAAGGACAAGATTAGACCCGGGCCTCAAAAGGGCCCAGGCAGCAAGACACCCTGAAGCTGGACTTCCTGGAAAATCTGCCTCCTCTCCTCTCGCTCGGCAGCAGGCGCGGTCCCGCGCTGACCACTTGGGCCACAAGGGCCTGGAGGTCACTGAGTTGGCAGCATGTGAGGCCAGAGATAAAGGGGGCCTCAAGGGCCAGGGAGAACTGACCTGGGGCCTGAGCAGTTCCACTTCCCCTCCCCCAGACTTTGACTTCTTCTGTTGGGGCTCCTGTCTGCTCCCCAGCATCTCCCACATCCCTGAGTGTGAGCCCAGAAAGTTCAGGCCTGGTTTGTCATCCCCAGGAGGCTCCATCTCTGAGGGAGAGGCGCAGAGCCCCCTAACCTGGGCCCCACTCAAGAAGGTCAGCCCAGTAGCCTCGCCTCCAGACCCCTCAATCTAACAGTGCTCATCCAGGCTCAGTATTCCCACCCCTGAGTTACAGAGAAGGAAATAAGGTCCAGAGAGGGTGAGCGACCTGCCAGAGCCACCCAGCAGTGGGATCTCACTGCAGGCCTCTGAACGTCCCATGGCGGGCCTCTGAGACCTCAGACAGGATGCCCTCGGCTTGCCGCAGGCCCCGCCCTTCCTCCCAGGACCCTTACAGGTAGCTGATGTGTGGGGTACTGGACTTCTCCCCCGCCGAGGGCTCCTGGGGCAGGAACTGCTGCTCCTTGCTGGCCACTCTGCCGGGCGGCTGCTCCTGCCTGCTGGTGGCGGGCTGCGCCACCTGGCTGACCCTGCCGTTCATCTCCTGGCCTTTCCTCCCTCCCGGCTCCTCCTCCTCTCCCTCCTCCTCTTCGTCCTCCTCCGTCTTCTCGGGGGCCGCGGGCTCCTGGCTTCGCACGCGGCGGGACGGCCGCAGCAGGACCCTGCGGAAGCCCTGCTTGAAGCGGTAGGAGAGGAAGCCGTAGAGGATGGGGTTGGCACAGCTGTTGGCATAGGGCAGCGCCACCACCAGGAAGTACAGGCCGAAGAAGGCGGGCTCCTCGGGCAGCGGGCACAGCACGTTGACGATGTTGAGCACGTAGAAGGGCATCCAGCAGAGGACGAAGAGCGCCACCACCGCCACCACCATGCGCGTGACCCTGCGCTCCGAGCGCCGCCGCCGCGGGCACGAGGGCGCCTGCAGCCGCGGGCACGAGGGCGCCCGCACCCTGCGCGCCGCCGAGCGCACCTTCACCACGATGAGCAGGTAGCACAGGCAGATGACCAGCAGCGGCCCGAAGAAGCCCAGCGCCGCCGTGTAGATGATGAAGCCCGCCCGCCAGGCGGCCGCCGGCTCGGGCCACTGCATGTGGCAGGTGCTCATGCCGCGCGGCACCCCCGAAAAGACCACCACGGGCAGCACCACCACGGCCGAGGCCACCCAGACGGCCGCGCTGACGGTGCGCGCCACGGGCGCTGTGCGCCAGCGGGCGGAGCGCGCGGGGTGCACCACGGCCAGGTAGCGGTCCACGCTCATGACCGTGAGGCAGAAGATGCTGGTGAACTGGTTGATGCCGTCCACCGCCATGACCAGGCGGCACATGAAGGAGCCAAAGGGCCAGTAGGACAGGGCGTTCTGGGCGGCCAGGAAGGGCAGCCCCAGCATGAAGAGCTCGTCGGCCAGCGCCAGGTTGAGGATGTAGACGCTGGTGACCGACGGGCTGGCCGTGTGCCGCAGGACCACGTAGATGACCAGCGAGTTGCCCAGCAGCCCCACCACGCACACCACCAGGTAGACCAGAGGGATCAAAACACCGCTGACGGCCAGCCCTGCAGGGCTAGCGCCCGAGGAGGCGTTGCCCGGAGTGACATCCAGGAGCCAGGACAAGGAGCTGTTCCCCGGGTCCGAGGTCGTGGGCACCAGTGAAGGATAGCCAGGGGTGTCCATAGCCAAGGGAAGCCGGGCAACGGTCAGCTAGTGGCCTGGAGAGGAGGACACTGCTCAGTCATGGCAGGGGATGGCGGGCTCTGTGCCACCCCTCCCCCATTGTGGTGACCTTGGAGACCTCCCGTAGACGCACCCAGGGCCTGATGCACCTTCTCCTCGGTCACTCTGCCAGCCCAGCAGGATTGAACGGTGCTGTCCCGTTTCTCAGATGAGAAACTGAGAAAAGTGACTGTGCTCGGTCACACGCCTGAATGGCGGTGGAACGTGAAATCCTCTCGTTTCATAAAATAATTCCTGCCCCCTCCACAGACGACACCCGGGTGCAATGCACTTACAGGTCTCTGTCCTCTCATCTGGAAAACACTCTTCACATCTCAAATCCTCAACCTGCAACCCGGGTCCCTAGATGAACCTCAGAGGATCCATGAATCTCCAAAACTCCAGGTGAAATCCACCATGCCCCAAGGATCCCAAGTTCAAGGCCAGCCTCAGCAATTTAGCCAGGCCCTGAGAAACTTAAGTGGGACCCTGTCTCAAAATATACAAAAGTGGGCTGGGGATGGGGCTCAGGGGTTAAGCGCCCCTAGGTTCAACCTCTGGTACCAGGGAAAAACGAATTGACCATGTCTGGGTCTTTTTCTGGAAGATTCCTGACATCAAATGAAGTGAAGAGCTAGATTCTGAGGTGCCCCTCCCTTGGGAGTCAGAGCCATGAGCAACTCTCTGCCTGGGTCCACTGTGCTCAGAGGCCCGGCCAGGAGGGGACTGTGCATGGCATGGGTGCCCGAGTGCCCTTCTCCTCCAGGCCGACTGGGAAAGGAAGGCCCTACAGCACGTGTGGTGGTGCTGGACGGAAGCACCTCCCCAGCTGCAGGCAGGGGCACAGGACCTCCCAGGTGGGTCTGGAAGCGCGGGCAGGAGGGCACCCCCTGCCCCGCAGGCACCCGCCATCCAGGGGCCCGGGCAGCCTCTGTCTTGCCTAAGCAGCCCAGGCTCCCCCAGGCTCCCCGGGCAGACTGTGGTCTCCGTAGCGTGGAGACCCCCATCTGGCTTTGTCCCCTGCCTGTCACTTCACACAGCAGCCACTCCCTCTGAGTCAGTCAGAGGGACCTGGAGCACGGTCCTCAGCGTGAAGAACTGGCACTGCTGGGAATGGCACTGCAGGTCCCTGGGGAGGGGACTCAGCCTTGGCAGCCTCCGCAGCACTTCCGGCTCCAGGGAGGCCTGGCCAAGGCTGAGCGCTTGACTGTCTCTGGCCTGACTCTCCCCTGCGCCCCTCCTTCCTAGTGACGGCCCTGGCTGTCTCTGGTTCCCCTGCAGAAACCCTGAGGGGGAGGACATCCCTCAGCCACCACCCCTCCTCCCGCTCCTGCAGCTGACCGGCACCAGGCCTGAAGTCCCTCCCGTGGGCCTGGTGCCTGCATGGCCCCACTGGAAGGTGCACAGCTCCTGGGACGGGGAGGTCCCTACCCCCCAGCCACCGCCTCGGGGCGGGTGAGCATGGAGCCGGCTCCTGGTGCCAGCTGGGCATCGGGCATCAGGATGGCTAAGGACCCCTGAGCCGCGTCTCCTCCCGCTTCAGCCGAGGCTGCCTGAGCTCCCGGCACCCTCCCGGCTCCAGAAGTGGGGGAGCCCCCAGCCTGTCCTCAGCCCGCCCCCACCCCCAGGCTCTCATGGGCTCTCCTGAGCCAGGGGATCTGGACGTGGGCTACAGGGCGCTCGGTGCCACCAGCTGTGTACCCCTGAATCCAACTGTGCCACCCTCCAGGCAAAGCTGGTGCCTGTAGTGCCACAAGGACAGAGAGGGACAAGCGAATGAGAGGGAGGGAGGGAGGAAGGCGAGGCCCCAGGCACAGCTAAGAAAAGGCACATCCAGGAAGACCCCCGTGACCACCCGGCCTCCATTTCACAGGCTCGCAGACTAAGGCCAGGTCAGGAGGGGGGCGCCGCCCCAGGGCCGCGGCTGGCCAGCTCCCTGGCCTCTGCAGAGCTCTCCGGCCTACTCCTGGGCTGTTAGACTCCCAGGACAGAGCCCGGGGACTGGGACTCGTGGATCTTTAAGCTCGAGTCCTTGAATCAGAGAACGCTGAATCCCAAAGGCCAGCAGCAGCCAGGGAACGGTGGCATCTAGAACCTTAAAGTCCTGCTTCCTGGGCCTGCGGGAGGGGAGTGCCCTACGTCACCGTCCACCTCGCCCATCCACTGCTGGTGGCAGAGCCTCTGTACAGAGGACCCACTGCGGCCAATCACAGCCCAGGGCTGCAGGAGGCAGGGAGCACCAGGCTCCCCAGAGGGGCAGGAAGCCGGGCAGGCCTAATTTCCAGATGCCCTCAGGGGAAGCCGGGGGGTGAGGGGAGCTCTGAGTCCAGCCCCTGCAGCCCCGCACACATGCGAACCCACATGCGCCAACGCGCCAGGCAGACCTCCTCACCCCAGGGATGAAGCAGCCCCTCCCGGCCCCGGCCTCCCTGAGACTCCCTGCCTCCTCCTGGCCTCCACCCACCCTCTCTGTCCAGGTTTCCCAGGCACCACAAGCCGGGAAATGACAGCTTTCCACGTGGGGAGCCAGACCTGCAATTTCTGTGCCGTCTTTTCTGGAAGGAGTGGAATCCTGGGCGTGATCAGCTCATTTTGGGGAGGGAAGGACTCTTCCTCGCTGTCTGGTTTATCTTTGGCACAAGCTCGGCTGAAAGCCGGGGGCGGACTCCTCAGAAGGCTGTTCTGGAGAGGAGAGAGGCAAGAGAGAGTGAGTAGCTGCTCCCAGCCCTACAGTAATCAAGGACAGCCCCTCGGGGAGGCCAGACACCCTGTCCCTCTCGTTCCCTTGTCCCTCCGCCCCGGACCCCTCTGGGTACATCACCCAGCACTCAGTAGACGCTAACAGAAGCAACAAAGCTCAAACTGCAACACTGTTCCTGGGCAGAGGCCTGGAGCTCGCAGCAGGGAATGCTCAGGAAGCCCAGGAGGCAGGAGGGAGGAGGAAGCAGAGGGTCAGAGAGGTTAAGTAACCAGGAGAAGGTCACCCAGCTGGTGAGTAGGAACCCAGGATTCAAGCCCAGTTCTTTCTGTTCCTTAATCATCAGTACCTCCTGGCCATGCTGGCCTCTCTAGAGGCAGCCCTGGCAGAAGCCGGCCGAACGCCCCTGCTGTTTCTGCCTCTGCACCCCAGGCCTTCCTCCAGAGGCCTGGGTCATCTAATGGGTATTGACTGATTTCCATCCTCAGCTTGGGGTCTGACCTCCATTGGAGCACACCCCACAAGCCCTGCCAAATTGCTGTGTGACCTTGGACGAGTCATTTCTCCTCTCTGAACCTCATTTATGCCCATTAAAGGGAAGACACATGTACCCACCTCCCAGGGTTGGTGAAGAGATTAAACAGGAGTGAACCAGGCATTGTGCCTGGCACAGAGGAGCTCGGGAGAGCTGCCCCCCAAGCCCAGGATGTGGAGTAACAGGATGCATCTGGCCTCGTCCAGCTCCAACATTCTGCTGCTCCTAGACCCGAAGATTCTGGAATCACGACACAAGATTCTGAGCATCCCACCCAGAGGTCACGGAGGCCCTCCCGCCTTGCTCAGTGGGACACTCCACCCTCTGCCAGCCCCCGTGGGCCTTCCCAGCTCATCCTGGGCAGCCATGGGCCAGGCATCCCACCCAGGACCACCCAGCCCACCTCCTTACCTGCCCAGGGGCAGAGGCCTCCCCTCCTGGCCGCCAGGCTGCTCATCATCCTGCCGCCCCCTCCCAGAGCACCCCCAGCTGGGGTCCCTACAGGTGCCCACTTCTAGGCTGCTGGCGGGCTTGGGCCCCCTCCTAGGCCCACAGCCACATCTGTCCCCTGAGCCTCTCCCATCTGACTCCAGCCTGACTCCCCACCTGCGTCGGAGCGTCGCCCCCACCTCCGGGACGCAGGGGGGGTGGGCAGGGGGGCAGAGCTGGGGGGCAGAGAGGAGAGGGGACCGGAGAAGCCAATGGAAAAGGAGGAAGAGGGGGACCGCGGGGGTGGGGAGGGGGGAGAGAGTGGGGGAGAGAAAGAGAGAGGGAGGGAGGGAGGGAGGGAGAGGGGGAGAGGGGACCTGGTGGGCGAAAGCGGATCGCGGAGTGAGGGGAGAGGAGGTGCGTGACAGGGAAAGCGAAGCAGGAGGAAGGACGGAGCAGCTGCGGAGAGAGGCAGGGACAGAGCCAGGAGGGAGGGGGGAGGACGAGGGGGTGGCAGGCAGAGTGGCAGGGAAGGACGGTGCCACAGATGTGACACGGGGAGCGGGCGCGGGCGGGGCGGCGGGGGGGGTTACCCGGGAGACTCGGCCACCCACGCGGAGCCGCAGAGGGGCAGGTGTCCAGGGAGGTCCGCGGCCAGCGGGCAGGACGCCCCCCGCCGACGACGGCTGCGTCCCAGCTGAGACCCGGGGGGCCCTGCGCGCCGCGGAGAGGAGGGCGGGTGCCCGCGGAGGCGTCCTGTCCGCAGTTGCGTCCCGCCGTCGCGTGGCCTCAGGGCGGCGGGTCCTCACCCCGGGCCCCGGGAAGCGGGAGAGACCCCCCGCAAAGCGAGAGGCGGAGGCACAGGTCGGAACGGTGCGGAGCCAGGCGGAGGCCAAGCAGAGGCGTCCTGCGGCGAGAACAGAGGTTGCCCCTGGTTTGGATTTGACAAAATTAAAGATGTAATAGCGAGAATCGAGGACAGCTTTTTAATATGAATCTACTGAGGAACGGGGCTCTTCGGGGCTGATATTTTGCTTAATTGGAGACGAAATTAGTATTCCCTGCCACCAGGTGGGTGGCCAGCGGCCAGCGGCAAAACCCACTCCTGACTCAGGAGAGGGAGGGGAGGAAAAGTCAGAGAAGACAGGGAAGCCCGAAGCAGAGTCTCTGTCGGGCACCTACTATGTGCCAGGTTCCAACCAGGCCCCTCGCTGGAGTGGACCATTCTTTGGGGCCAGGAACTGGGAACTGAATTCTTGCAGGGGCAGCACACAGTAGGCCCAGGGGACGGTCCCACTGGGACTCCTGGATCCCACTCTGAACACTGTCCCTCCAATTTGCCCTGTGCACGACCCTTCCTCCAGGCCAAGGTCATGAGGCATAGGTGACTCTGAGCCTGTCCCCAGGGTTGGGGGGGCTTCCGCGGCACTGTCCCTCCTCCTCCTCCTCCACTGTGGCCTTCCTGAGGTGTCTCACTGTGGACCACCAGGCCCTGTGGCCAGCCCAGCCTCCTTCCTGCTGGCCTGTGCCTGCCCTGGGCTCCCGCCACCTCCTGGGACTCACACTGGGAGCCAGGCAGGGGACAAGCAGGCAAGGCCGTGGTCCCACCGGTGTGGATCTGGAAAGGAAACACAGGAAGGAGACAGGGACGGACCGTTGAGGACCAAAAAGTGAGGATGGCCTCTCCAAGGACAGCAGCGACTGTCCTGGGAGGTGACCCCGACCGCGTGGACTGTGGTCATCTCAGTCTTGGGAGCCTCCTGGGGGAGCAGAGTTCTGAGACCTGGTTGACATTTCTAGAAGGTTTGCTGTCCAGCTGCTCTGGGAGCCGTGTCTGGGGCAGGGCAGAGGCAGGGAGACCGGTCAGAAGGCCAAGGAGGGGTGCCCAGGCTGTGTCCCCACTCAGGAGTCGGTCCCCACCCAGCCTGTCCCCACACATGAGACGGTGGTCACCAGGTGCCGGGATGAGGTACTTCCTCCCCTGGACGTCCCAGCAGTGACTAGCTGGGCCCACCCCAACCCAGGAGACTCGGCTCAGGCAGCCACATCTGCCCTCAGCACTGGGCGGTGAGGTCCCAGAGCGCCAGCCTCCAGGGTAAAGCCTCCTCCATCCCTCTGCTCTCCCGGCATAGCCCGTGCTGGAGCTGACCCGAGATCAGGTGGAGGGCTCAACTACTGATCCCGAGGTCTGTCCTCTGAAATAAGAGATGAAAAAATGTCCTCCCAGCTCAGCCCAGGGGCTCCCTGAAGTCCCCATCAAGAGTGTCCTCCAGTTCATCAGCCCTGTCAGCTCTCTAGGGTGGAATCTCAGCTTTGCCGTTTGACTTGGCTGTGTGGCCTCAGATATGCGACTTAACCTCTCTGAGCCTAGTCCTCATCTTCAACACCTATTCATCGGGTTGCCATGACGATGGAATGAGTCAATCCCTTCCTTCACACTGTAGTGGTTCCCAGCAGAGACAGAAAAGGCACCACTTAACTCCTGCTGGTAGGGGACATGGGCTGGGGCACTGGGTAGGGGAGCCTGAGCCCCAGCTCTGTCCCCATCAAGCCACGTGACTGTGAAACCCCTCTTGGAACTTCAGCAGGATGCGCCTGCCTCATGGTCTGAACCTCGCGACCTGGCCCCGGGTTTCTGGAGAGGGATGAACGGAGGGAACGCTTGCCCCTGACCCAGTGCTTGGCCTTGAACTCTCTCTGGCCTCCATGGCCTCCTCTGGCCCAGCCTCCCTCTGGGCGAAGCCGTTGGAGACACCAGCACCTGCCTCCCGAACGACACCTGTTTATCAATTTTTTTTTTTTTTTAACTAAAGGCCATGAAAAGCAACAGGGGGCCTGGACCTTCCCTTTCCCTGGCAGCGGGGCACAGAGGCCCTGGGCGAGCGCCTTCCCTAGCAGGGCCGGGAGTGGAGGTCCAGCGACGGGGCAGCCGGTGCCAACCTGCTCTTCCTGGTCCACAGGGCAGCGGGGCCTGCGAGCTCCTCGGGGTCCTGCTGTGCATGGGGTGGGGGCTCCCTAGGGGCTTGCCAAGACAATGCGCGAACTTCCCGCTCATCAGTTTAATTCCCAGGTCAGGCTGGAGAGAAGGAGGAGGAAACAGTGTAGCCACCGCTGTCCACCATTGCTGCTCCTGGGCAGCAGTGCCCTCCCACTGTCCAGTCTCCCCCCTCTCCTCTGGGCTTCCTTTTTTTATTTCTCCAGAACACAATTATTTTTTATTTGCTTTCATTTTATCAAAGCATTGTTTGCAAGTAAATTCTAGAAACCCAGTTGTGCTAAAAATGCTGGCAGTAGTAAAAACCAGCCGGGCTCGTGTGGCCGGGGCCTGCCCTGCTTGCCTGGGCTCTCCCCTGTCACCCCGCTTGCTCAACCTTGTGTCTGTTTCCCTGTCTCTCATTCCCCAGCTCTGACTTCCTGTTTTGGTGGACCAGGGCTTTAGTCCCCCCGCCCAGGCACAATTTTACATTAAATGCCTGTCCGGCGTCCCCATGATTAATGCAATGTAAATATTATTTCGTGTTCAATGGGGAGTTAGTGATCACCTCATTTTTTCCATTTACTCAGCTTAAAAAAAAAATTCTTGGTCTTTGTTCCCACACTCGGGTACAGGTTCACAAAAACCTCACAGTGGAGTTTCCAGAGCCCAAGGGCAGAGAGAGTGTGTTCTTAGAGACCTTTGATTGTCCCTCCTCTGGACCAGCTGTCCCTTGGGCCAGCACGTGTGACAGCTGGGGCTGGAAAAGAAGAGGGACACTTTGTATCCCAGCAGGGAGCCCTTCACCTCTTCCCCACGCACATCCACATCCGGGTTCCTAGACTCCAGGTCTTCCCCGCTGGAGGCCGACTGTCACGTGGATGGCACCCAGGCCCCAGTGACTTCCCCAGGAGGCATCTGGGTTTGAAGATGGCCCCCTCTGCACGCCCCACGGCCTAGTTGGGGACAGAATTCCAGGCTGAGAACCGCTGTGGCTCGACTGGTGGCCGACACCTGTGGGTACCTCCAGCTTGTTCCCAGCCCTTGTGTGTAACTTTTGGCACCTGTTTTCTATATTCTGGAAGCTTCTAGAACTTTCGCTGTATCCCAGAATTTCTGAGATTCCCTAATAAAGGCGCTTTGTTGGGGTGCTTTTCATCTGTTGTTTGGGGCACAAAGGGGACTGTTCCAAGGTGGAGATCTGCGTTCCTCAATCCTGGGGAGACTTTCCGAGTTGTTTCCTCCCAGAATCCCTGTCGTCGGGCCACCTGTGCTCAGCTGTGCCCTGTCAGGGCCCTCTGCTGTGGCGTCCTGGGCTCTATGGAGACCACGTGCCTCCTTCTCTCTCCGAGGACAGCAGTGACGGTTTCTTCAGGGTCCCCTCTCCTTCCGTGTTGCTTGGTCACTGGAGAGACCCCCTGAGCTGGTCGCCCTTCACCCCTGTTCCTGTTCAGAGCCAGGCGTCACGGCTCCGGCTGGGGCTCAGGAGCACAGTGGGACAGCTGGGTCTGTGTCAAGGACGCCAGAAGCCAGCACCTGGAAGACCTTCCTGTGGGTGCCCAGGTCCCCAGTTTCCGTCTGGGCCGAGTGTGCTCCTGGGCACTGGTACCCCTGAACTGGGCTGGAAACATCCGGTTCAGAATCTAACTGTCCCCTGATCCCCCTGCATGGGGCAGATACCGCTGCGTAACAAACCTCAGGGCATCTCAAGGGCAACAGCAGTCGATGTTTATTTCACTCACACCTTCAGGTCAGCTGGGATGGGGTGACCTGG